CTGCGACATGTCGAGGATTCCTCAACGCACGCTTGGCCCTGGATGGAACCATGTCAAATGCCTCGATCTTAACATTTCAGCCTTGCCAAATCAACAGTATCAGTCAGTGAGCACAGTCCCGCTGTTTCCCCACATGTTTCTCGCCCGAGAGCATTACTTCGTCCAAAAACCCCGAACTTTACTCCTTGACTGATTACCATACCATCCTCTTCACTCATAGGGGTCATTCTCTTATAGATGTGTTGCGTTGGTGGTTTGCTGGTACCTCAAACTTGTGTAATTGAACATTTTCACAATTATAAATCAGCACAACAATTGATATCAACATGAAACGTTCATGAGAGAGCTTGAGATGAGGTTAGACCAAAAAAGAGGAGAGGAAGGGAGTTCCTTGAGTGGGCTCCTTTTATAGCGGCCAACCCCCTCGCAACTTTCGTGGTCTCGTCGTTGACCACCCAGTCCCATAAGTCCATAGCAATGCTGTCCTGAAGACGATATGATAGAGGAATCTCTATAGTGTACGATGCTCTCGTGTCACCGTATAGATCCAACTAGAAACGTTATATTTTGATGCTGCGCGTTATCGAATCTAGCTAGAATTGTGCAAAATGTGATGGCATAAACGCATATACACTGATGATTCTGTCATATTAAGGCCTTCATTGGAGGTGATGGGGAAAAATTTCATGCATGTGGGACCAAAAGTGTGTCTGACCTAGAACCAAAAGTCGCGGTGTGTCTGACCTAGAACCAAAAGTTGCGAGGGCATAGCCACGCCACCTCCTTCTCCAGTAACTGCGTAGAAAGATCCTATTCACATTCGAATACCACGAATCGGCTCAATACGTGGTGCACTTGAAGAAAAAGGAAAATTCTCGTGCGATCTTTTTGTTCCGGCCTTTTTAGAAGATAAACTGACCACACCAGTGAAATTTTTCGAACTCATATTCGAAAGCATGCATTTATTTACAGGAATGGAATGATGAATTGGAAAAACTAGCTCAAAAACACTCAGGAGACAAATATGAGTATACACCGAAAGATCATGAACAGGTCAATTCCATTGGATTATTCAGCGGGGCTGAAATCAATCAAACAATGGAAGAGAAAATAAGCTCGACTCTTCAAACGAGAAAAAGCACGGTGAGTCATTGTCATGACTAATCCACTTGGCAGTGGCTTTCTTTACGCGAGCCGTCGATCCGCGACCTCACTATTCGAACCGTTCTGGCACTGCTCTAGGGAACGGCAGGATACGGTGTTACACAAGCTAAACAGTATTCATGCTTGTGCGCAATTTAGTACGGCGCCCACCGTTTCTTAGGCGGGAGCGTGTATCAACGCAGACGTTTTCTCACATAACCTTTGCCACTTTTTTGTCGTATCCGACGGGTAGTAAATGAATGGCTTTCACTGACCTCACATCCTTTCATTCGTACGTCTTGCTCTCCTCAGGGGCCGTCTGCAGCAGAGCTGGCCTTGGTGGGCTCATATGCCCCTTCGAGATAGCTTCCAGCTAGGAATACATCCCCTAGCAGCGAGGATGTATCCCTTACGAGCGACTAAGACCCACCCGGGCTACATCACGGACGCCGCCTCGTTGTCGGGAATGAATTTCCGGTTTTTCTTGAGGATTCATCCCAACGGCAAAGATACAAAGGGAGCTGACTGTGTGTAGGTTATTGAGCATTTCTTGGCAACTGTGTTTATTCAAATTGATTGATATTGATGTTTTATTTATGTATTAGGTGAGATCGCACTTTTGGCGGTGGCGCTCGACCATTTGCTCGCGTTTTCCATTTCTCTCTGTCATTCAAGCTATTGATAAGTTGGTTTTGTCTTCCGTTTGAACACAAAGTCCGCTGCTACAGTCCATATCCGACCGGTTGAGGGGGCGGTCCCACGGACGTACCAGCGCTGCGGCCGCGACAACGCGGGGATGGAAGGTTGCCGTATCCCAGTGATTGAGTGGTGTCTGAGCAATCCGTCCTGCCGTCTGCATTCCTCCGCATGCACACTATCTTAGCAGTAGACGCAGCAGCCTTTCCATCTGCGCTCTCGCCACTTTTCCGTCTGCGCTCTCGCCACGGTCGATCAATCGAAATTTATCAGCTGTTTTGAGCTGAATTCAACTAAATTCTGCTAATATGCTAGGTGCGCGCTTCTTTTTCACAGGTAAGTAAGTTTCAAATATGTACACTGCGACGCATAATCTTAGTTCCACCTACAAATTTCCCAAAAACTAGAATTTGGAGATGTTTTTGAAAAGGGCTCTACAGACAAATTGTGACACATGCAAATGCGAATCTGAATATTATCACGGAAATCCAGTTTGAGAAAGCAAAAATTTTTTATCCTCATTTTTTCGAAAATACCCGACTTGCCTATGACGCAAAATCATAGTTCCACCACATGTTTCTCTGCTGCATTTTGCTTTTACCCAATCAAATTTTGAAATTATTACCCACTCAAGTCCCTTAGCTTATAGCAAAGGCAAAACCGCTGTCGAACTTCCGTAAAAGGAAAACCCTAGCAAAAGAGACGCAGGAGTTGTTGAAGTGTCAGCTCACGCTAGAATTTGTCGGGGTGGCTTCATAACGAACAAGTTTCTCAAGGATGCTACAGGATATGATTCTGGGAAGAACCCTGATTACTATCCGACCCGAGATAAGCGCCGTATCGTGAGAAAATAATACGACTTTATCCAGACGGGTACGGAAATCAAAACTTCTTCAAAAGTTAGTGTCTCAATGGAAGCAGTTTCACGTGTTTTACAACACGCTCGTGACAGTCCATGTCTGGGATAAGAAATACGCTTTCAGTGAGAAGAAATCAGAGAGAAAAACGAGCCATTTTTCTTTGAAAGCTCAGCCAGTTCGAGTGAAGCGGTGGCATTCTTTCATTTGCGACTTTTGATTTGCGTCTTTCTTTCTCTTAACGTTTTTCTTTCTCAGATCGGTTTTCTACTTCGTAGCACACATGTATGGAGAAGAAAATGATCAGGAGGATGGTCAGAGGTTCCAAAATATCACAGATAAAAAAGTGTCCTCACTTCGCTCTACTTAGCAAAACTTTTTGAGAAAAATGGCTCGTTTTTCTCTCTGATTTCTTCTCACTGAAAGCGTATTTCTTATCCTCCAGACATGGACTGTCACGAGCGTGTTGTAAAACACGTGAAACTGCTTCCATTGAGACACTAACTTTTGAAGAAGTTTTGATTTCCGTACCCGTCTGGATAAAGTCGTATTATTTTCTCACGATACGGCGCTTATCTCGGTCGGATAGTAATCAGGGTTCTTCCCAGAATCATATCCTGTAGCATCCTTGAGAAACTTGTTCGTTATGAAGCCACCCCGACAAATTCTAGCGTGAGCTGACACTTCAACAACTCCTGCGTCTCTTTTGCTAGGTTTTCCTTTTACGGAAGTTCGACAGCGGTTTTGCCTTTGCTATAAGCTAAGGACTTGAGTGGGTAATAATTTCAAAATTTGATTGGGTAAAAGCAAAATGCAGCAGAGAAACATGTGGTGGAACTATGATTTTGCGTCATAGGCAAGTCGGGTATTTTCGAAAAAATGAGGATAAAAATTTTTTGCTTTTGCTTTTTGCTACGTACGTATGCTGTGTTGGCTTACGCTGGCAGCGCGGGCAGCGCGGCGGGCAAGGCCCTAGCGCCATTGCCGCGCAGTTTTAGGGTCGCGATACCGTCGCCAGCATTTGTGAAAGACGTCCGTGGGCAATTTCAACGCGTAGCAGCCCTTTCGGTTTTTCATTTTTTTTACAAAAAAAGAAGCAAAATTTCTGTTCTTACATTTTCCGATTCCTTTGATCTCGAGATTCATGAGTAACTCGAATACATGTAGTTGTATTCTATCAGTTGTCACTAATTACAACTATCATTTACCAAAAATCAGCTATCACTATGAACCACTACTAACCAGATTTACTTGGAGGCCGTCGTCACTTGTGGTGTATGGTCTGCACCCGACGCTCTTCTCGTTTTTTGAAAGGGGGAGGGTACTTGACATTTTGACAAACGTACCCATTGCTATCAGCAATCCGCGTCGTCCAAATCGCGGGCAGGCCACTGAGTCTGTCTCAACGACAGAAAAAAAGCAAAAAATTAAATGGGGAACAAAATAACCCAATAACACGGCACCTCTCTCAGTATAATAAAATAATAGTAATATCAACCCATTTCGTAAAATGCAATTGCAATGAAATGCTTAAAGGCAAAAGTCGGGCTCAATAAGGGGGTATTATGGCGATTGAAACTGAGTATAGAGATGCGAAGTGGAACGACAGTGGAGAAAAAACTGAGAAAAACCGTCGACAAGGCCGTTAACAAAACCCTCTTTCCCACTAGCAGTGAAGGAGGCTGGCTTGGGAAGAGGCACGTACAAACAAGTTTTCTGGAGATATCAGTCGTTCTATCGGTTGATACGGCAATCAACCTAGCTGATTTCACACGTTATGCCAGCCACGCACCACATCCCAAGGTGGGCGGTCGTAGCGGGGCCAGGCGGCGATAGCGCATAGTACATGCCCTGGGGCCTTATTACTGCGCCGTTTCGGGTTTTCTACGGGTGCGTAACCAAGTACAGGCATGACCGAAAGGGTTGGTTTGGTCAACTAATCCCGACCTTTGCCTTTAAGAAACACTGGGACACGCTTTTCTAGTCAACGTCGGCGCCTGCGAATGTCACTGCTGTATTCGGTAACGTGAAGGGTATCGTATTACGCCCTTTTCTGTGTGAGCTTTTTACTCTTTTTACTGGAAGCGGCCTTTGCTTGAAGAATAAAGAATATTTCAGAAGGGGCAAATACAAGCTGTAAAATCCCCATGTGGAAGACAATACGCGGATACCGCCCAGATGTGGTAAGTCTTCGTTGGAATACACCAAGTGGGGCAATAGTATCGCAGAAAGAAACCGCAGCAAATGAGAATTGTGAAGCAACCTCACGCAAATCTTTAAGTTAATTCCTCGAGGGAATTGGAGCACTTTTTGGAGCCTTGTTCAAGCCTTACGAGCTTTTGGAAACTTTACTTGTCCTCGAGAAGTCAACCCTTCTCCATCAATTTGAACAGTTGTTCAAAGTCCTTTTCGACTAACATGTTCCCTAGAGTACGCAGAAAACCGTGTTTCAAAGTAGGCTTACAAGGCGGCCGAAGCTAGATAGACCACTTATAGCCCACGTGTGCTGTAGCTTGAAATTGAAGTGTCGTTTGCTCCACAATAGATGGAGGAAAGTAGTTGTCTCTACGGTATCAAATCTCAAGTGTGAATTGCACGACAAGGGGGGGTGGGAAGAACTGAACGCTCCTTAAGAAAAATAAATAAAATAGAATCTGGCTTCATCAACTGCCAATATAAAAAGCTGTATGCCATCCTAGATCGGCTAATTGTTCCTGGTTTTCTCTTTTCTAATTCGCTGAATTTCTTTGTGTGGTATCCCTGAATTGTTTTAGTATATTATCACTACGAAAACGTTCTCAGTAGTGGCCGCACAATAGTTTGCGCCTTAGTACGGTAATTCTCAGGTGAAGTTAACTAAAAATTCTCATAGACCTTCCGCGCTGAATTCAGCCTTGCTGCGTGTTTTTGGAAGGTTACATCGATGTGTATGCGGCATTCATGGCGCAGGATGGAACCATGTTGAATGCCTCAGTCTTAGCATTTCAGCCTTGCCAAATCAACAGTGTCAGTCAGTGAGCACTGTCCCGCTGTTTCCCCAAATGTTCCTCGCCCAAGGGCATTACTTCGTCCAGGATCTCCTGGACCCAGGCACAACCGTGTGATGAGCGGATTGTGGCGATTTTACGACCTCCTTTCTGAGGGCCTCGATAGGACTCCCACCACCACCATTAGCCTTGAGGAGTCCTCCCCTTCCATCGCATTATCCCCGATCTTCCCAGCTCCCGACCTCCGCTCACAATATAGCTCTTTCTTTGTTTTTTTTTTCATTATCTGAAACACAAACCCCCAAAGCAGAATACGCCTTTTCTTTGCTCTTCCACATGTGGCTTTCGAGTCATGACATTAAGGGAATAAATTTGTCTATTGAAGGAGGAAAATCTCTACTTGTTTCTCCTAAATCCTGTCTCAACATGACCTAACAAACGGCGAAACGCCACTCGACCTCTTATACCATCACAACACCATCAAATCTTATAGGTGACCCCTTTAATTTTTGACATTCACATAACGAGCCAAAAATACTGTTGAAGTGCACTGAGGGCAACGAAAAAGTTGCCCTGCTTGCACCTTGCCTTTGATCTGACAGACGTCATTCATGTGCTCTCGTAGACGATGCTCTCGGTGTGACCGGATGAATCCACGTAGAGATGCTGCCTCGGTTGTTTATACGCGTTGATTTCTACCTAAAATTGGCAAGATGTGAGGCATGAACGCACATGCATACATGATTGTGCCGTATCAAGGCCTCTATGACAGGAGGTGTTCAAATTCTGAACAGCCAAACATGTGGGAAAAACATCCCAGCCTAGGATTGAGCGTAGCGAGGGTAAAACCACGTCACTTCGCCAGCAGGGTGAATATCGCTTGAGGATTCCTCAACGGCACGTCGAGGATTCTCTGCCCGATCAGAGACGATCTCTCGCGCGGACATTCACACTCGCCATGCCGTGCCGTCTGTGCTCTCCGCGCGGATGTTCACTCTCGGCACTACTCTCGCATGGTAGAGAGCTATGGTCGAGGATTTCCTCGACCGTTATTCACCTGTCCTGCTTCCCCATCCCAGTCACTGTATATACAATCCATCCTACTCACATTTGAATACTAAACATTCGGCTTAATACGTGGTACATCAAAAGAGGACAATTATCCTCATGCGATTTTTCTGTTCCAGCCTTTTTATAAACATAGACTGGCGCAATTTGGCGCGGGGGGGGGGGTGGAAGCATCGCCGCCCGGCTTAGCGAAGTAGTGTAAACTCGAACATTCCAGCTTTTCACGCATGTTAAGTGACTGCCTCACTCCCACCCCTGAATTGGCTACATTCCCGGCTCAACGAATTTCGGTGCTGCCGCACGCGCCGCAGCGGCGACTTGCCCCCCCCCCCCGAACCACATTGCGCCCATAGACTGAACACATCCGCAGAATTTTTTGAACTCTTATATGAAGATGTTCATTAACAGGAATGGAATGATGAATTGGCGGAAACTGGCTCAGGAACATTCAGGAGACGAATATAAATTAACACCGGAAGGCTATGAACAGGTCAATTCCATTGGACTATTCATGGGAGCAGAAATCAATCAAACAATGGAAGAGAAAATCGATTCGACTTTACGAAAAAGAAAAGACATGGTGAGTCTGTCATGGGCACTCCACCCAACTGTAGCTTTCTTTGTGCGAGCCGTCAATCCATGTCCTTATTCGAAAGATCCTGCAACAATTCGTGAAGGGCAGGCAGAGCTAACGCGCTGCACAAACTAGACCAGGCAATGCCGCAGTTTGAGAGGCGAGCCAGTGCTTTTATGCGAGAGCAGTTGTATTCAACCCCCGCAGACTTCTTGTCACACAACTTTTGTCACTTTTCTGTCGTATTCCGCGGAAATTTTTGAAGAACGCTTACTGAAATAATATCCTTTCACCGTATGTCTCGCTCTCCATAGAGACCATATGCAGCACGGACTGAGCTTGATGGCTTCATAGCCAGCCCCTCGATTGAGACGTAAGCAAACCAGCCCTTTTGGCGCTTCGGCTGGGACCGTATGCTGAATGTTGGGAGGGGATGGAGTCCCCGACGGTGGACGGACCACTTCAACTCGGTCCTTAGAACCGCCACAATTTGGTGCTTACCTCAGAACTAAGCCTTAAAGAGAGGACGGGTCCGTCCCCTCTCCAAGGCTTAGTCCTGGGGTGAGCAAACCAGCCCTTCTGGCGGAGCTGCTGGACCAGCTGCACCACTTGCGTCAGTACTCTCCTATCGTACCAACCGAGTTGAAGTAAACCGTCGACCGTTGGGGATCCCCCTCCCCAACATTCAGCATACGGTCCCAGCCGAAACGCCAAAAGGGCTGGTTTGCTTACCTCCTCGATCGACAGTATAGCTTACAGCCTGGAATACATCCCATTGCAGCGATCGTATATCCCTTACAAGCGATCCTAAGGATCCATCCTCGGTTGGAGCTGTATCCTGTTGCGCGCTGCGTTCTGTTGTTAGGATAATTTTCGCGATTCTTTCTTGTGGATTTATCCGACGCCAAGACCGGAGATAGCTTACCTCGATTTTCGAGCATTTCATTATAGTTGCTATATCATATGAGTCATATTGATGTTTACGTAGTTACCAATGGAATCGCGCTCATGGGTTCTGCGTCATGCGCTCATTTTCTGTTCGCGTTTTTCCTTTTTCTATCATTCGAGCTATTGATGAGTGTGTTTTGCCTGCCGTTTGAGCATTATGTTTTGGACCTAAATTTGAATGACAACAAGGAATAGTATGCAAAAAACCGCTTCGTGAGTGCAAAAAGTCCAAGATGAAGTGACGGCAAGCAAATAGCGACCTGACCTATTCTGGAATTCGAGATGTACTCGAAACATATTAATTGCTCGAAATTCCGAGAAACATGCTCATTGACGAGCAATTCACGATGTCCAAAATCTTGGGCGAAAGCCACTCGAGTGAGCAGCTTGTATGACAGAAAACAGCAAAAAGCAGGAAAGCAAAAACAAAGAAATAAACGGTACCCGACATGACACCTATGATGTAACCTCAAACAATTAACAAATTATAACATATTACCGATACGCAACTTTGAAAATAGGCATATTGCCAATGAAAATATTTAAGCAAACTCGGATTGGCGCAAGTTTGAGGTAGGATCCGCGGGAAACTGCAAGGTCCACTAACCTGTCTTAGAATTTACTCCAGCTTCGTCAACAAAATTTGCGCGGTTCAGACGCGCTAGGTCCTTTCGGAGCGCTCCAACCGTCGACAGCACCGCGCAACGCTTTCCTCATTCACCCTCCGATCATCGCCCGTCTCTTCCAAAAACGACGTGACCTCTCGCGTCTTTTGTCTTCTTTTACGGCCCTGCCTCGCCATCGTTCCACATCTGACCTTTTTGAAAAATAAAGGCTTTCATTTCAGAAATCCCAAAGATTTCTTTAGCTTCCCTTTCCACATTCAAGCCTTCCGCCGCTCAGTCATTAGGAAGCGCTCTTATCACCAGTTTCATAGAGGGGCTTGCCTCCAAGAGACACTGGGACGTAGCCAATTCTAGCCGGAGATGAATCCAAATCGCACGAGCATATACAGTGGGGGGGGGGCAGAAAAAAGTCACTTCATTCACATTCAAAGCAGAATTAACAACACTTCGCCAGAACCAAACCGAATGAGCCAATTGCATATTCAAGAGCACATGCTATCCTATCAGAAATACTACTTAGGGAGTTTCTACAACAACAACATCAGGAGATTTACCCACGGAAACATTGTGCACGGTACGAGCTCAACCGGCGTGGTCGTCGAGAAACGATAGATGATTACGACGTCTCTGAAACGCTGGTCAAAAGCCATTTTGCATAGTCAGAGCTAGTGTCTCTAAGAAGTCATTCACCAGTTATCCGATTGAAGAAATTATGTAGCAGCTTCAGAATGGAGCGATTATTGTAGGCCTCCTTGAGCTCGACGGTGATGACAGATGACGTCATATTCTGGAGACGGTGAAGCAGCGAAGGTGGGCCTGATTCTGCTTATGGGGGACATCTAAGGAATAATTCGCCGTATAACTCCCAATAACAGCGGCATCCTTTGCGACGAAAAGTTTGATGATATGCGCCATAGGCAAAGTGACTCCTTTTTTTGCCCCCCCCCTTGTATATTAAGCGAAAAGAAAAAGAAAAAAAAACATTACAAATAAGAATAACCAAACGTTCTTGTCGCTTCCTTCGCGGAAACCGAACCTTGTTTATTTCTATATGAATTTGCTATTATCTATTATATGTTTTTATTTATATATTACCAGTTTAGCTCCGCACGCTACCGCGCACGTGACACAGTAGGCTTCGTTGAAAATGTATGGCCTGTGCAACATTAGATCCCACCGCTAAAGAATGCAACCCTAAGTTGCATCGGAAAATGCGCCAGCCGACCTTCCCATAGCATCTCCCCATTTTGCTGAAGTTCACCGTTTGATACGCGCGATAGAGTGCGAAGCTAAAGTGCTGCATGTAAACAACCACCATGCGTTAAATGTCAGGGTAGTTTAGCGGTTGGATGATATTTGATGCTAATGGTGTTAAGATAGAAAAACTCAGTCCATACATTTCTAAGAGCTTCTAAAGAGTAGCGGTCGAATGGATTTCGAGACGATAATACGCGACGAAGAAGGAAAGAAATGAGTTTGGTTCTTATCTAGTGTTTGGTTTTAAGCTATTTCTATGTCGTTACGTATATCGCCATTAACAGTCCTTATCACTTTATGACTCCCACCAATCATGTTCCCGTCCCACCCTGCACATTACTTCCTGGAACCAACTCCCCTCTGCAGCTGGACGCGCGCTATGGATATCGTGAAATTTGCGTTTCGGCGCCTCTTATCGGATCTTATCAGCCGTTATCACTTTCTGACCCCCACCAAATATGTTCCCGTCCCACCCTCCATATCATTTCCCAGTATCAAGTCCTGACGACTGCTGCGAACCGTGCTATAATTTCGTAGCGCAACACTTAACACGCACACACGACATGACAGACAGGCTTAGCGCTTTATAGTATAGCCAGATTAGTCCCCCCGTCAAACCGCGCCGGACTCTTCCTTTAATGCGCAAGCTTTCTATCCTCCGCTATGGTCCCTTCCTCCTGTGACACCAACACCTCCTGGAAGTGACGCGTATGCAACACAATGGTGTTTCATACAGTAGAAGGGACACAATCATGATATGACGGTAGATTTTTCGCTTCCCTTCCTCATCCTCCCTTCCTCTCTCCACTGCCCTCCAGCTGCCACTGCAGCACCATGTGGAATGAACGGAAGTGTGCTAAGCAGGTGTTTATATAGCCCTAAGAGTGTTATCACAACTATCCTGCTACAAAACATTGATATCTCAAATCCTGTAAGCTACCCGATTTGTTAGCGGTTTGTTTATCCCATGAGCTTCCTTCTCACTCACTTCATTTTGCGGACGGACACACATACATACACACACACACACACACACACACACATACAGATACACAAACCGACACACAAAGTTAGCGCTTTATATAATAGAAGGATAGTAGGATTGTGGATTCATTATATATATGAATATATGCCACGATCGCACAGTTTAGGAACCCATCGCTGCCTTGTTGTATATAAATTCACAATATACACTAGTAGGCAAAAACTTAAGGACGAGACAGATTAGGTGAAATTGCTTAATGATAGCTTCGAAGCGTTCAACTGTTCCTGCCAATTGTTTCTCTGCTGCACTGTAGCAGCTCTT